TGCATATACGTGTAAAATTTTGCATGAGAACGATCCAATATTTGTTTTTTCATAGAATGCCTTACTTTTGGATTTTCAGTGAAATCCAGTAGTTTAGTGAGGGGAAAATAGAATGGAAAGCGAATTTCATCACATAAAATATGTGGGTTATGAAAAAAAAAAATGTCCTGTATACCATTCTCCATAACTAACACTGTCATGAATGACTTATGCTTTAATAACTATGTAGGAGTGCCACATAGAAATTGTATTCAGCATAAGCTGCTCCTGCCCAGGAACAAAATATTTGGATATGCCCCAATTCAGTCAATCTCATGATGCTAATATCCGTTTACTTTTTGTCAGTGCTGAGAACCTTCTAAAAGATATGATTTTCATAGGAGGATAATGGCTCCCTATTACTGTATCCTGCCTTGAACAAGATTTAACATGCTGATCATTGCCAAGGTGTTCACTGACTTTAAATTAAGTCTTTCAACAGCTGATGACAGGGCTTGAAAGGCCATTTTATGTATGGCTTTTTTCATCACGCCTTTATGAGATCATGATAAATACACAATACAGCCCCACCTCAGGGTGGCACAAAAAATGTAAATGAGTTTAAATGTTTTCCTTGTGTTTCTGTATTGAATATTATGTGTTAAAGAAAGATTTTGTTCCTTGCAGTATTACATGTATCTTTAAATCTGTGAAAACCTGTTTATTCAGCCATTTGAGGCAGCTGTGATAGGTTGACTAGAATCTAACTGTCAGTGGGCTTAGTGAACAGGAGTCATATAGGTATAGGGCATTAAGCCCTATACCATCTTTGTCATTATAGTTAAATATTTGAATTATAAAATATTGCAGACTTGATACCTAACTTGCTGATGTGTTCATTGTGTTGCTTATTTCTACATTTTAAATGATAGTTTTAAAGCAAAAGAAGCCCATCAGTTAAATCTATGCCGTCTAAGTGGTGATCCTAATAGAAAAATTAAGCCTTAGGACCGATCACAAGTAGAAAAAAAAAGGAGAGAGTAACAGAGCCAGCCTATATAGTGTAGTAATTTGTTTATGGTCCACTAGCAGAAAAAAAATTATAGAAAAGGTGAACTTATCTGTCAGGTTGCTAGTGACCAATGAATAGTGGCTGCAAACTGAGCGGCTGAATGCCTGTAAAGAATAAAACTGTCTCCACACAGTGAAAGTTTACTCCATGTTCAGAGGTGGCAGCAGGATAGTCAAAAGCTTCTGAGTTATGAGAACCCAAGGGATGGAAATGTATTGCAGAGGCCCGTTGAATAATTGCTGCGAAAATTAGTTTCTCACCAAGCAATATTATTTCATATAAAAAGTATTTATTTAGTACCTGAAAATGTGTTTCGTGACCTACGGTCACTTCCTCAGATAGAAGGTGCTAGTATAGGATTTACAAGTAGATAATAGAGTGAGGGAGGAGGGAATACACACATGATGACCAATAATTTTCACTAATCCTCATTGTTGCATAACGAGGAGCAATTTATTTTAAAACAAATATCTAATTAATCTGAAAACATAAGTGACCTTTAGGTATACAGTATTGATCAATGTTTACAATTTTATCTTTTACTATACTTAGTAGGGTGATCTATTATCTACTTTTAAATTCTTTACTGGTACCCTATATCTAAGTAAGTCATCATAGTTCACAAAACATATTTTCAGGTGCTAAATAAATTATGTAATTTGCATCTAGATCATTCAACTGGTTTTTAATTCCCAGGTGTTCATCACTTATGTGGGGAATACCGCCTCTATTCAGTGCCTTTTTAGCGCTCTATAAAATTGTAATGTATGTGTAATTTTTTTTCTCTATTCATTGAGGAACACAGGGATTTATAGACTACGGCATTATACTACCAACTACACAAAATTGTGTCCAGCCCAGTATAACCCCTGCCTGCTCCCAGCATGCCTTTGTTTTTTCTAGTGTTCATTAGTATGGATGTCTTTTCTCTGCTCCATTGAGAAAAGTCAACCAAGCTACTTGTTTTTCAATCAAGATTCCTTTACAAGCTGCTTAAGCTGGTCTCTGTACACTGTTATTTGGATGAGTTTTTCTTTAGCACTATGTTTGGAGGCTGTTTCCGAACCGCGCTTGACTGGTTGATTACGGAGGATAGCATGGAATGTGACCTTCGGGCACTGGGCTCTGCACTGGGGGTTTTCCAGAGCTGAGTGTATTGTGTTGGCTGGCAGCAAGCACTTACCAGGCTCTAAGCTGTCCTAAAGACTTACTTTGTGAACAGGCTGTACAGACCAAGCATCTTGTGCTACCTCATCACTAGGACCATCGGGTGGTATCTGAAATCCCTGTTATTCAGCCATTTACTGCAGATGGTGGTAAAGCTGAGGGACTAAGCACTGATCCCATCTGCTGGGTGGCGTGCCCCCATTGTCTGTCTTTCTCGCTATTCAGCAATGAGGACGTACCCCCCACCCGCTGCTCCTGACTGCAGTTGACATGTGTATCTATCATTGGTTTATTTCTACTGCCCGTCTTCAAGACCTGGTAGTTGGTTAGTGAGTATTTAAGACCTAGCCTTGTACCCTCACTTAAAGATATTAGACACGTGATGTATACAGTGCCTCCAGCTCACAATGCAGTTACGGATTTGGTGCTGCCTTCAGTGCACCCACTAAAAAGGGCCTAACACTGACCGCCTTGAATTTTCCCTTTAATTGAGTCCATGCCATCCTCTGAGTTTTCTCTAGCTCCTTTGGGCATGGCCACCTTTGATGCAGTTCACACCACTTTAAAGCTTGAGGATCAGCCTGCAGATTCTGCCAGTACTGTCCCCTGTCTAGGCTCCTCATGGGTCCCCAAGGCCTTTCTCGTGCACCCACTGCACTAGAGGACTTTCTAAAAAAGTGGATTGTCCCCACTGTGGGGGGCGCAGGGGGGAATCCTTTACAGTCCCTGTGGAGTATGCGCATGTGTTTAGGGTCCTAATCAATAGGCAATTGGAGACCCTTTCTAAAACCTTTTTCCCCTTGGCAGGCCCTGCCTTGCAACCCAACCTGGCAGGGACACATGTCTGCCAAGCTCTAGCTGACTGGGCTTCTACTTAGATGGGTTATTACAGACCTCTCATTTGTAGTATGAGTTTCTGGTCAGTGAACATGAAGTTAAAGTGTTGGGCTGTGGAACTCACCTGCAAAAACTGACTGCTTTGCATGCTCTACAGAGTGACAGTGTCTGTCTGGAGCTGCCCTGGATACTAATATCAAGGATGTTACCAGGAGAAAAACTCCCCATCTGCTCCAGCTGAAGCCTAGAGCTCAGCCAGGGTAGGCTCAATCCCTCCTCGGTGACCAAGAAGAGTCCCTTTTGTTAATCCCAGGCCTCAACCTCCAAAGCCAAGCCTGGTTCCTTCCCAGTCTGTGCGCAAACCCTGGATTTCCAAATCACCTGAAACCTTCAGATAAATCTTCTTTTAACATTGGGTTGTACTAATAGTCCTGAAGAAGTGGAATTCACCACAAACCACGGTGATAGTTGTTAAAAGAACATTTTTAAGATGTTCATGTGCATGGAGAGATATTGACTGACCACACAGTAGTAATTCAACCCCTATGTGTATATGTTCAAGTATGGAAAAAGACTGTAAGTGGTTTATTAGGACCAGAGTGCTGGACATGAAGAATAACCCCTAGTTTAGAAACAGAAAAATATCTTAAACTTACCCTGCCCTGAAAAAGTCTTGGTGACTACTGTGTGGTCAGTCAATATCTCTCCAATTAGCCACACGAACCCGATGTCCATAAAAATCGAACTTTATTGTTGTAAATTCCATGCAAAGTTCAAAATACTAGGTATATACCACCATACTATCTCTCCCACTCCAACGCCTCTCACACGTTTGACCACCTGGCTTAATCATAGAGGTACTGTGTGGTCAGTATTGTAAATATATTTGTGTGTTGTTTTTAAACAGCCAAATAGAAAATATTTAGAAGATAGAAGATATTTAAGAGGAAATCTACTATACATATATTGCAGGGGCGCCCACAATTTTTCGTTCGGAGATCTACTTTTCAAATGACAAGCTCAATGAGATCTACCAACGAAAAACACCTGCATTCAGGGGGGGAGCGAGCATGGAGGTGCATTGAACCGGAATGCAGGCAGGCAATCGCATTGTGGGTGGGGGGAATGGCTGCGGTGCCATTCACTAAATCACAACCCCACGCCCCCTCCTGCGCCTGAGTGCAGGGAGTCGGCCGGCTTGCATTCCAGTGCGTTCTAGAGGTGCCAGCGTCCTATCCTCCCGCGGTGCTCATTTGGCCGACGTTGCACTCGGGGAAAGGTGTCCTGCCCCTTTCTGTCTGCGGCGTCTAACACTTTCAGCCTCCCCAACAGGTGTGTGACATCACCCATCGCCCTGCCTCCAGGATATTTTTTTTATTTATTTTTACTGTTGGGGGGCTTCAGGGAAATATTAGGGGTATAAACAGCCTTCTGATATTTTCCTTTTAAAATAGAAAAAGAAATTCCTCAATCTTTCTTTCTTCTCGGATCCCCTCTGCATACAGATGGGGGAGAGCAGCAGGGATCCAGAGAAGCCCCATGGCAGGAGGACAGGACATCAGGGATCTGGTATATATGATATATTGTATTTAATGGGACCATTTCACATATCCAATATGTAATTTGTGCTTCAAAATAATTGCTTATGGTTTTAACAGTAACACATTTTTTTATTTGAGAAAAGAGACAGTTGTGGGAGGATAGCTGGCACAATATAGCCCTATACTGGCAACACATAGGTAGTAATGATTTGAAAGCTTTCTTATAGCTATACCTGTAATATATAGCTGTTGTGGTTTTTTGTTTACTGAAATTGCATTTGGGTTTTATAGATGCTAAGAACAAATATTTTTGTTGACCATTTTCCTAGATTATAATAATTCTATGTGTATGTGTGTATCTATATACATATATACAGTATATTAAACACTTTTGTGTCTTATAGTTACAGGATGAAGAAAGGAGAAGACAACAACAATTGGAAGAGATCCGCAAACGGGAAGCCGAGGATCGCATACGACAAGAAGAAGAACGTCGGCGTCAAGAGGAGGACCGAACAAAGCGGGAAGCCGAAGACAAGGTTTTGTACCCTATATTTAAGATACAGCGGTGCTACCCTTTTGATATAAATGTGCTTTAAGTAAGGTACATTGCTGACGCTATATTTGTTTTCATTTAAAGGCACATTAAGTGTATTGACCACATGTACATTCGGGTAAATATACACAAGTGCTTCTGAGATTCATCAGGAACTATTACGCTCATGAAAGATCGTTTTTCCTTCTTGCATGCGCATTCCCCTGGATAGTGCATAGCAAATAAACTACCATAGAGTAACATGCAAACACCATATTAAACCAGCTGACAACAATAGAAATAACTCGGTAGTTTTCCATCTATCAAAGCCCTATTGTTTAGTGCTAGTCTGTTCCAGCCATTTTGTTCCTCTCATTTCCTGTTGCATCTCGAGGACAGGAAGTAACGGAAAATCTCTCTAGCCGGACACAGAAAAAAAGAAAAACCTGATAGAGGTTTAAACCCCTTCCCTTCGTTGTCCAATAAATACATGTGTTGCCCGTTGCAGCCAGCAAGATATATATATTTTTTATATCTGTTCTGGAAAAAACAACTACAGTTTAAATCTAGTTGTGAGCAACAGTCATTTCTATTTCACACACTTTATATACAGACACTACTCGGTTTACGATGGGGTTACGTTCTGATAAGCTCATCGTAACACGATCGTATCGTAAACTGTGAAGTGTACTGTACTGCCGCGGTCAGCAGCAGACTGTACACAATGGGGAGCAATTGCAGGGTGGCTATTCAAACCCCGCCCACTAAGAGGAGTGGACCTGAGAAAGCAAGTTTTCTCTTGCTGACCTGAGAAAGCAAGTTCTCTCTCAGGTCCGCTACTCTGCTCAGTGGGAGGGAGCAATAGCCAGCCTACTATTGGCTATTGCAATTTGAAATATTCACCTTTTTAATTCACCTGCCGGATGTGGAAGCTAACCGGCAGGTGAATGGGGAAGCGGAGCACCTCAGGGATGGTTTCTTGAGAGTTGCTATTAACTCTCAAGCAACCAGAAACTACAGGTATCCAGCACCTACCGATCTCTGTGGGTGCCGAATAACTGTACCGTAAACTTAATTGTAAATGTGAACGATTGTAACTCGATCAATCACAACCTGAGGAACATCTGTATAGCTTTGAGAAAAAATTCATGAACTGTGGAGTTTTATAGATTAATCCAATCATAAAAATAAAGGAGCTTCTGTTTAATGTACAGCACACATTCAAGGAAATTCACTATATAATAAAGTACTCTTTGTACATAATTGGTTAATATCTATTGCCAGAAAAAAACTATTATATTAATAAAAATGCTTTGATAAAATTTAAAAATCAATTGATGTTTTCATAATGTGTTAGAAACAAATAATATAAATGAAGCAACATTAAATACCAACGTCTACATAATTATCTTTCATGTTCACTATTCACTTTGTTATTATTGCACGATTCTCGTACGAGAATCGCCTGAAATCCCGTGATCGTACGAGAATCGTGCAGTGTATTGAAGACGTGCGACCGTTTCTACTGTACGGTCGCACGTCTTCCGTCGAACATGCAGGTTAGAAAACCCGCCGGGAATCGTACGATTCTCGGCGAGTTAGTGGCCTGCTTGTTCGACAACTGCCACACGCACACTGCCCGTTTGCAGTCATCGGAAGCCCGCCCCTCGTTGCAGTCATCGGAAGCCCGCCCCTCGTTGCAGTCATCGCAAGCCCGATCTGCCTGTCCAAGATGGGCAGATTGTACGTTTTTAAATTACTTTACAAAGTTCTGCGAGGGTTGTAAAGTGTATGGGCACCTTAAGGTCCAGTAAGTGTAGCTGTGTGATAACACCAGCTCTGTGTTGATCTCATCAGACTTTCTTAATAAGTAAGTGTCTGAACAGCTTTGTGAAATGGTCACTGATCAAAACAGTTGCTATGTGAATTAGTTTTGTGTGGTGCAAGACAGAGAATTAGGTGCACAGATAACATGTAGCTGAATAACTCCATATTTCTGGTGTAAATGTTATTGTGAATTTTCCTGATTTGTATTTTACATTACTTTATCTTTTATTACACTGAGAGATAAACAGACTTAAGGATACTAGTTGAGGATATTTAGGATACTAGTTGAGGATATTTGAACCCTCTCTTTTGCCATTAACCTCAGCTGAATTGTTTCTCTAGCTTCTGATCAAACCTGGTCACCAGTACAGAGGTTACACAAGTTAAAAACACCTGTGGACCTATGTCCATCAATTGTAACCCATTTTCTCCCTAAAAAAATAACCTCCAGACTCCAAAGAAAGGCAGTAAACATTGTATTTTTGATGGACCTTTGTATATTTAAATAAGGTGATTATTTACTCCCCAATTGCCTCTTATGTGTGAATAATTCAGTTTAGTTAGTCCTTGTAGGTTGAGGTTTTCCCATTCTATTTTTTATTCACTTGTACTTTTTCTATTTTATTCACTTGTACTTTTGTACCTCCCCAATTCCAGGATATCATCTTTGTGATCTGGTGCCCAAAACTAATATGCTTTAACCATCAACATTTGCTAAATAATTATAAGAATATGAAAACTTTTAGGATATCTAAACCCAAAAATAATCATGTTGTATTTCTTAGGGATGCACTGAAATTCCGGCCAAAAATTGCACTTTTGGCCATTTGTCGAAAGTGCCATGACGGCTGAAAAGGCGGCCAAAAATTCAATGTATCCCAGCTTCTCTCCTCCCTGCTGAGCACCGGTCTGATTGCCTTCTGATGCAGCGCCGGTGCCCAGCGGGGAGGAGAGAAGTTTTTAGGATGGAGAGTGGCGCTGTGCGGTGACCGATGTAACTGTGTCAGGATGGAGCGCAGTCAGAGGCGGTGACAGCTGCGATCTGTCACAGGAGGCGGAATTCTCCCACACCTCCCGGCTCCACCTCCTGTTTCCGGATGCTAAGCAGTGTGGGGCGGTGACGGCTGTGATTTGTCACAGGAGGCGGAGCTGGGAGGTGTGGGTGGAGAGCTCAGTCTCCTGTGTCAGGATCGAGAGCGGCGATTGGAGGATATTGCGCTGATCTGCCACTGGAGCTCTCCGCCCCCCCTCCTCTGACAGCCGATTTTGGATGGAGAGCGTGTATACAAACACTCACCGATCAGCTGATCGGTGAGTGTTTGTAAATAACTAAACACAGTGTGCTTACTATGTCCCAGTTATGAATGAACAGGAAGTGATCTACATTACTTCCCATTCATTCATGATTGTAGACATAGTACGTACACTATATCCACAATGTATGAATGAACAGGAGCACTCAGTATAGTTCATTTATAACCGGGGCTGCAGAGAAGAGATTGAGGACTCTGGGTCTTTTTTTATTTTAAAAGGGAAATATCAGGGGTCTGTTACGACCCCAACAGTAAAGAAAAAAAAACCAAAAACATAAAAATAATTACATTTTAAATAATTTAAATTGTTTTAAAAGATTGGGGGGAAAAAAAGTCATTTTCGTTATTGTTATTGAGGGACACAGGAATTTTTAGACTTACCCCATACTGCAGTCTACAGATTTAATCCCACCCACAACTATCTTGCCTTTTTGCTAGTGTCCTCAGGAGAGGGGACATGTTTTCTTCAGCTTTGCTGTTCTCTGCTCATTTGGAGGTTCTCTGCTATCAACAGCTGCTGGTAGATTAATGCCGGATATGTTAAATCCTGATAGTTTCTCGAGTTAGTGCTGGTAGGTTCATGCTTGATATGTAAAATCCTACAGTTGACTAGAGTTAGCCAAGGAGAGCAGATTTTTCCAGTTTACACAGATGTTCTTCCAACAGTCCTGAATTTCTGGAAAGTTTTTCAGCTACTGAAAGTTTGAGGATAGATGTGGGAATCCTTAAGAGCTCTCCAGTTGGCCAAGCAGGGCAGTTTCCCAGTTTATTATCTATATTAGTGTTCTATCTGCGACAGTCTTGCAGTTGGCAGTGACCGCCCATCCATGTTCCACTTCGCACAGGACTCCCCTTTCCAGGGCAGGCCAGTATGTCTGGGAATTCCTTATGAAGTTATCATTCCAGAGCAAAGTCAGATTTACTGTCCATTTTTTCTGCATCTCATAGTTGTGAGTGACTTAGCAGGCTTATGCTGCGTTGAGGTTTCCACTGTTTGATTCTGAGACTACGTATGTGGTATTTTCTACAGGAGCAGCCCATGTAGTGGGGAGCTACAATTCTCCTTTTCTTTCTGAGCTAATTTTTACTGTATGTACTTTGTAAGTTGGCCACATGGGGGAGTCCCTCTCTTTACATCTGCTTGGGCTATACAAGGGGAACGGTTATTCCCCCACCCCCCTTCTTCTCTTCAGCTGCACTTGATGAAGCAGCTCTACTTTTTCAAGAGGCATTGAACCAGTTACGGGAGGAAGGGAATGATAATTTTGAAAAAAAATAAAAATCTACAAATTTAGCACTACTGTCATGGTTGCAAGGAAAACACATTTGAATATTTTTTTTTTGTGCAGCTTACAGAAATTCACTGATGGCTGTATGATGAAGCAGATATTTTTGCTTGCATTATATGCAGTATATGTCTGCAAAACATGAACATTTCCCCAATGTTTTATCCTAAGAATGTTTTATCCTTGAACTGAGATTGCAAGACTTAGTGTCAGCCTTGGCCAGTTGCTGTTAAGCTACTGAATCCTGCCCCGTCTCCTTAGCCTTACAGTGTAGGGACCAATTGTCTTTTAGTTTAGAATTACTGTGAGGGCTCCTTGAGATAACATAGGCCATGTTCACAGGACAGCTCTAAATTTCTGATACAATCAACTGGTAATTGTTGCACTTAATGAACAAATATAACAAAATGCTTTCAATAGTCTTTTTAAAATACCAAAAGAAATTCATTGTAAGGGTCACACAAACTTTATAAATGCTGTTTAGGAACTCCATCCATTATACTGAAGATGATAAGTTAAGTTAATAGACAACAGTTAAGGATTTACTGGAATTTGTGTGTGTATATGTATGTATATGTATATGTATATATATGTATATATATATATATTATTTCATTGAAAAGCACTTTTTAGCATTATTAGAACCAATGTATACTGTTAATTGTGAGCATGTGGCATGATATTGGCAAATTGTGTTGTTTTTTTTCTTTTGTTAATAACCATTATTGTATGTAAGCTTTTGTTTTCTTTCTGTTTATTTTTTTTGCACAAGCTTAATTACATTATTTATTTTTGGCTAGCAGAGGAGGCAGGAAGAGGAGTACTACAACCGCTTGGAAGCAGAGAGGCGCAGGCAACATGAGGAGGCAGAGCGGAGATTACTAGAGCCTGAAGAGCCTGGTCTGTACAGACCTCCACTCCCAAGGGAATATGAGCTCCCATCCCCACCCCTCCTGTCTAACGCTCCGCCTCCCCCACCTCAGCGAAACACTTCTTACCTCAAAACACAAGCTCTGTCACCTGACACCGTTTACACTGCCAAGTTTGTTGCATACACTGATGATGAGGAAGACACAAACCTAGCAGGTCAGGATAAGTACTCCAGCACAAGAAAGTCTTATGGTGACCTCCCTCCAGCTTCACATAAGCCACAGCTGCCTGCTGCACGCCAGCCTCGTCCTGTGTCCGATGGCATCTTTCTTTCAAACTCATTCCAGCCACCTACAGCCAATGCCAACAGTACTGGTAGCAAAATGGGCCTGGCCCCTCCCATAGCAAATAAGCCAGGTTTTCTTCACCAAAGCATCTCTAAAGGTACTGTTTAAAAATGCGTGTGACTAGTTGGAATCCACCTCCTAACTCTTTCACCTTGGTGATTTTTAGATTTAAGTCTATCCTCTAATTTGTGGGTTTTCCCGTCTCTACCACTATTTGGTAAATTATTAGAGCACCTCAATTATCCTTTCAAATCAGTTTTTCAATTCAGTTTTCCTATCCTTATACTACCTAAATGTTTTTTTCCTCTTGTGTCTTAACAAGAAAAAACTTGAATAAATCGGAGTACTGTTGGTTTTGGCTCCCATGCTTTGCTTCTCCATATATTTCATTTAGGTTTGCGCTACAATTGTGTGCTGCATGTACTTACTCATGTTATTTTAGCTAGTCAAAAAGTCGGTCCACCCAGAGGTGATGTTTTAGGTTTAAATGCAGTATAATGAGCTGCGTCACCCGCTGGTTCCATACATCTCAAACACTAGTTTCACATCATCTCCTTAGTGATAGAACCACAAAAATAGTCCACCCATACACCAGCTGTTGTACTGCCTCATGGAGGGGGCTGAATCAGGTGTCCATCTAATGTTATAAGCAGAACGTGAAACCTAATAATAAATATTAATAATAAATACATACATAATTAGGAATGCGGTTATTCTAAAAGCTCCTTCTACATGTGTCTGTCTATATGCGTATACAGAAAAAATATAGGTTTTAGAGGGAATGAAAGACAAATCTAAGCATATCCATGATCACACATTTAAAACATTTAGAAAGATTTTTTAAACAAAAGGAAGAGAAAAAGGTCTCGAAGCAGGCTTACATTTACTGTTGGTTCAGTCTACAGACCTGGTAAATAATGGTTAGAGGCAGCTAAAGAAAGGTATCTCATGTTTGGTCACAGTAGCAAATAGGAGACACTATTTATTTCTTTTGGACAACAACCTTTTGTTTGACAATTACAAACACCTTTTTTCACTCTGCATTTAACGTTTTACTGTGTCCTTCTGTACACACTAAATTCCACAAGACAAACATAGCACCTAATCTATTGCAGCAATATCCAAAAGATGCCCATGTACAGTTCAGTTGTATTCCGATTTAGAAAGAAGAGTTTTGCAGTACATAGTTTTAACTAGATACTTAGTGTATTTCCACTCTTGCAGTCAAAATTGAGAACCTCCACTATGATTGATTGTGTTCCCATCCACATTGAATACCATAAAATATGTATTTAAAAAAATATTTATTACCTTTGTTTGTTTCTAGAAGCAGTTTTATACACTATAGGTAGTTTCTTTTGCCTAAAATAAAGGACAATGTGAAGATAAGAGACAAAAAAGTACATTGAAAGTGCATTGACAAATAATGTACCACCCGAGCCTTGAGATCTTTAACCATTTGTTAGGACAGACGGTCCTGCACATCCAGTTTATGAATGATAATGGGGATTTCGCAGGACAATAGAGACCGTGTTAATTATGGAAAACATTGCTATCTAGCCCCTTAACATGACATAGAAGGGGAAAGCTAAAACGATTTTCAGCAAGTAAAATGTTAAGCAGCCATTTTAAATCTATTTTAAACGTTATGCTATATTAATGGGAACATGTAAAAATATGAAGTAGGTATCATCACAGTTTGACGGCAAAAATGTAAATACACTTTAAGGACAGCCTATAACCCAAGCAATAGAAAATCAGACCTTGTTTTTATCCACAGCAATCCTTGTAGATAAAACAATCTTATTTTTATGTAATTAAAGGAAACCGGTGATAAAGAGAAGTACATTACTTACCATTGCTGACCCCATTCTGAAAATGCTAGCTTCTGGATGTCTCTCTGATACATTGACTTCATTAGTTTGAATTACTGACCCAGAACAAGTATATGACAAGTAAAATTAGACATGATCTGCATACTTGTACTAGGATGGAGACCTAATGTATTTACTACATACTGTCTTGTGAGCATCATGGAGGCTACCTTCGCTGTACTCTTCTTCTGAGAATGCCAATTCCCTGGCTATCATAGTTATGCTTTGTCTTTAGAGCTTTCTGAGTCACCGTTCTGAAACAAGTATAGATGTAAGGAATTCTAACTCTTCATGTACAACATGCTAGTTTTGGGTCTGTGACTTAAAAGTACTTGGAGTGGACCTTGCAAATGCCAGGTCTACTTAGATTACAAATTACCTATTGTTTGTAGGTGTAGAATGTAATTGTAAAAGAAAATGTAATGTATCACTGTTTCCACATCACTGGGCACGTGATGTCCCCATCCTTTTTAAAATATTTCTGGGAATGCAGAGCAGTCTAGATTTAGAGAGAAAGTGTTTTATTACGAGATTTCAGTTGCCCTGTATTCCCGGAATCTAGCCAGATGTGTGACATTCTCATCTGGGCACTGTGCACGGAAGATGGCGATGAGGTAAGTATAACCCTTAACATTTTCTTTACAGGTACATTTGATATGCCTATTTAATAGTAGGGGCGAGGGCCTGGGCAATGCAAGTAGACTTTGATAATTTTTATAAACCATTAATACATATCGGACAACATACAAAATTGCAGATATCATTTTTTTTATTCTGCTGGGCCTCAACTTTCAAAAAATATTGAGGGATTTGAGGGGTTTAAGTAATTTTTCCCATGTGAGCAAAAAATGAAAAAAATTGCTCCAGAAGTGAAGTGGTTAAACCAAAGAACTTCACAAGTAGTGTTTGCAGAGGGGTTCAGCAATGGCAGTCCATGTATTTCTTCATGATAACAGTGCCAAAACAAGAGATTTTATTTACACTAACCAACATTGTCTGTTATATGTTAAAATGCAGTTACTTCGAGCCCTATATAATAAAAGCTACACGAAATGGTACTTCAACATAATTTGAAAATATATATTTAGATGTACAGTTAGTATCTGACCAGAAAGTTTAAACAAAATGCTTCTTCACTGCTCGTTATTCAGTTTATAAAATTGTGTCCACATAACACTCTCCTTAGCCATATTTATGATTAGTCGGCATTCCAACACAAAGTTCATCTAAAATGACTCTACTGTTCTTGACAAACAACCTAGCATAATCTAGAAATTATAGGAAAAATACAACAAAGTAAAAAACACAGGATAACATGCAAGTAAAACTTTGGTCGCGGTGCCTATGATGTACATAATGAGAGATTATCCGAACGGACCATGATCCCACTGAACTTGAATATCACCTAATATATTGCAGAAATCATATTAGCAACACCCACCAACATTCACAATATTTCTTTTTAATTTGAAGCAGCCAAACCTATATGCTATATAATTTAGCTTTCCATGCAGTAACATGTAGTGGTAAAGTGTTAATCACAGTGCCAGTGGAGCTTTAGTCATGTAGCATAATGCAAGGAGCAGGTCTTCTACAAGACTCTGGTAGTTGGTGGAGAATGAGGTGATGCTATTTCTAGATGCATCAGGGAGCTGCTGGACTCTGAAGAAACATGCCATGCTGTACCTTACATTAAGCTTCATAGGGGCAGAGGATAATGTGGTTTAGCACAGAGTACCATAAACCTCAATAAGGTGGCCTGCACATGTTACCAGGCAGGGGAGGAAGGCACCTCGTATAGCAGTCACATATCAGAAACCTAAAACAGAAGATGTAGATAAACAGAAACATTTACTGTTGATACTTTTTAAATGGGTAGGAAAGTCTAAAGAATCCCTGGAATTTGATGTATTTGCTATTGCCCCCTGCTCAAAGCAAGGCTTTGGTTAATTGCAACAGTCCAGTAGCTTGAAAGATCAAAGTGCAACTTCTTTTTTTTTAAAGCTTTGAATAGTGTTTGTGTGTGTCCGCTGTGGAGATTTATGTGCACTTCCTGTCCCCAGAGACGGGAAGTAATTGAAAATCTCTTAAAATCAAGGGGAATAGTCCACTGACAGTGGTTGAAAGAATGAATAGTAGCTTAGATCTCCCCAAAGTGGACACAGGCAGTATGGTAGTAAGTTAATGTTTTGACCATGTTCACAAATTATGCAATAACTGTCTGCCGAAGTGCTCCCAATGAAATACATACAGTTTGCTATAGTGAGTACCAAGTTTTAGACCAGTAGTCTTAAACTGAAAAGCTAAATTTTTCAACCACATGCCTACCATGCCAAAGAGACTTCTGATCTGTTATCTTAGTGAGACAACCTCAGCACTTTGCTTGTGCACAAATGCCCTACTTTTACCATGCTTATCGATACCAGATGATGTTGCCTACTGTTGGTGCATTAGGGAAGCATTGTGCAACCTTTTTTCAGACAAGGCACCCTTTAAAATTATGTAAATCTTGGGGCACCCAAGTCTAAAGTGTAAAAACTGTAAATATAAAAAAACGACGTGTGGTCCTTCCATAATCCATACCAGAAAGCAGAGCCTGGCATAGCCGGCGGCGAAGGGGGACGCCCACTTCCCCAGCACTGTGCACTGAGCACATCTCTATAGCCACCTGAACACTTGTATGTAACAGTCATTGCCAGCTGTAAAAAATTATTAGGTTATACTGCAAAATCAATAAAAATTATCTTTCACAGCTTAAGGTTGACACTGTTTTTATATATGTATTGTGGCCCTGAAGCTGTTAAAGATCATTTTTAATGATTTTGCAGTAACCTGTTATAACAACACTGGTACAATAAACAATCTAACAAGCAAACATTACAGGACTCGTATACACTGAGCAAAATCACATATAAAATCTCGTATACACTAGATGATACAGAAAACGGAAGTACAATAAAATGAACATCATAATATGCCCTTAGCAGATCACAGATAAAGTCAAGGAAACCCAGCATTCATAGAAGTGTAAGCTAGCGAAAGGCCCCAAGTACAATAAAATGAAAGACTACGAGACAAGGTTGCTAAATTTAAACTTGTTCACGCTGGAAGTGAGGAGATTAAGAGGGGATATGATTTTGTAGTACAAAATGTTCAGTGGTGATGGCAACATCGGCACTAAACTTTTTACTGTAAACTCCGTAACAAGCACTAGATGCCACCACCTAAAATTGGCGGAGAAAAGATTTATCCACAAAGGGCGTAGGGGCTGCTTTTCAGTTAGATTCGGTTACATTTTTTAACTCTCTGCCACAAGGAGTGGTATCAGCAAAGAATATTGATTTGTTCAAAAATCAATTAGATTCCATCCGAAGAGACCGTAACAGACAGGGGTATAGGTACACTTAAATACTAGACCACACATGGACTCTTATACACACATGCACGTACAAGAGACACGCGCACATACAAAAGCTGAACTTGATGGACATGTGTCTTTTTTTCAACCTCAAATACTATGCAAGTACGGTCTGCCTCTCTGTTCATAAGGGATTTCTATAAAGCGAAAGATTCTGTGAAACTTTACTAGGCGAAGGATCATGTTAAATTGTAATGACTGTGCTAGTTGCCCTTCTGTATGGCAGCTAATCATGTAGAACAACCTAGAATAATACTTAAAGAACACATAGGGGTTGGTTTACTAAAGACAAATAGGCTCTTGACTTTGCAAGTGAATTTTACCTTATATTAGTAAATGAGCTGACACTCTGCTAACTTCTAACATCCAATCATGCGCAAGCAAAAGTACTGATTTTTTTCTATTTTCTTTGCACATGATTAAGTATTCTTTGCAAAACAAACTTTTCACTAAGCTAAAGGAAAATTCCCTTGCAAAGTGAACAAGCTATTTGCCCTTAGCAAATCAACTCCATAGTATCCACAATAAAGTGATCAAAGGACTGTTAATTACAA